GGAACCAAAGAAGTGTTTGAATGATTGGGGATTCAGTGATTTAGTGGATCTATTTTCAGGTTCATATTAATATTTAACTATTCATCTGTCTTGAATTTATCGATATTCTGTACAGAAAGTATCATTGACTTTTCAATTATTACTTCTGATTATAATACACAAAACTGTCATTTCTTTTTTTTATATTTTTATGCGATCTTCTTTACATTTCCAATCGGCAGAACAAGAAATCACTTATGAACTAGCTTAAAAATCGCTATCCACGGATTTAATCAAGGAATGTGGTTCCTGTTGTGGTTTGGCAAAAGAATAAATTTATTGAACAATGGAAAATAGCATTTGGAACTACGCAACGCGTCATTCAGTCTGAAAACGTCATTGTAAGTCACTCAGTTTCGGATACGCATCGTAATATTATAATTAAATAATTCATATTTTAATAAAATATATACTTTTATTATTAATAAAAAGGATGACTCAACACCATTGAGTGAATCTACCGAAACAGCTCTATGTTACACAAACCGACCCTAAAACACTTTGTAAGTTATTTATCACTTTACATCTTAAATTTACGTTGTAAATATGTAATATAATTTTTATATAATATTAAATGTTGAAGAAAAAAGAACATATACGGGAGAAAGCGAGTATAGAAAGCGTTTGAAAAATTAGAAGGAGATTATTAGATGATTTGTTAAGTAAAAGAAGTAACTTAGCAGATCCTTTGTTAGCTGATTATAAGAGAAACAATAGACTGTCCGACGTATCATCTTTTTTGCTGTGCGATTGTATTGCTGATGATTTAGTCGTGTGATAAAATATAGGTAAGAATTGTTTTTTATATATTTAAGACTATTATATGTGTCTTCTTTTTGATTAATTCATTTATCAATTACAAAAATTTATGGTACAAATTAACTAATAGTTTGAATAAAGTACCAAATAATTTCTATTTTCAGTAAGTTTGTGACGCAAGATTATATCGATTTAACAAACCAAATTAAAAAATGGTTCCCAACTGAGGATTCAACGACGTATTTTCGACCAGGAATTCCTAAAAGTCTTTCCAAAACAAAAAATCTAAGAAAACCTGGTGGCAGATTGTATGATAAAATTAAAAATCGCAAATCTTTATTTGCCCAATTAACAGGTACAGTTAGACGCAAAGACCAATCAGAAAATACAGATGAAGATGAATTGAACCACTAGGTAACTTTTTTTAACTAACAATGTTTCACACGCACATATGTATGTAGATAGAATGTATAATACATACTAAATGTTAGATGGAATAAACATTACTATTGTTATTCAGCTGAAGACGTAGCTGAAAGTTTGGTATGGTGGGATCATAATCGTGATTTTTACACTAAGTGATCATCATTGGAAGTAACAGCTAAAGCTCGTAATGGATATAATAAGAATCAAAGGAAATGTCTTCGCTATCTAAAAAGTATCCGTGCTAAAAGATCCAACCATGGTTTCGTTTAGTAAATATTGATTGTTGTGAGCTGTAGACAACCTCTGAATCAAAATCTATGAGCATGGATGTTTCGTCACAAAAGTGTTTGATCAAACTATTAGAAAGAAAAAAGTTAGACAGACGACGTTCAAGAGCTGTTAAATATAATGGATGATGAAATACTAATTTGTGTAAGTGAAATAACTATTTATTATCTTCCCTTCATGTCTACGATGATTTATTGAAATGTTACATACAGTGCCAACGTTTTGCTGAAATATTATAGTACCTTTTGCCGTTCCTCCACGAGCTGGTGTATCTAAAGTTGATAAAGAGTATTGGAAACCAACAATATTAGAGAGCCAACAAGGATGTGCAGTGCATGCTAAAGTAGTTAACAATATATATTAAAAATTATCAAGGAATGTCAATATTCAAGTAGGTAGTCTATAGAGATTGTGTTATTTTTACAGTCTTACAACAGAATTTTTTAAGTAATAAAAATTAATTTTGTTTTTTCCATTCATATGGAGTTACAATGTTGTATTGTAAAATGTTGAAAAATATGATATTGTTTAAATATTAAAGAGATTTTCGTACAATTCAATATATAACAATTAACTTTTAATTATCCACAGTTTACTTGTCTTATACACATTGTAAAATAATCTTTTTCTTCCACACGGACGGCCGTTTGGAGATCTTGCCCCCCTTCCTGAAAGCTCCCGTTCAACCCAATGCCCGTCCCCCCCCACCACCTGTCCAGCCGATCGCCTCGACTCGGCCCATACTTTTCACGCTGTGCCTAGTTCAGGGATGATACCTTGATCACCCCTCTTTCTAATCGTTTTGCTTCACCTTTTCAAAACCGCCTTTTACTTTGTTTCCCACACCATCTTATCTGTCTGGCCCTGTTGGCTGTTCCGTTACAACGCAAACAAATTGGCACGTTGGTACCAGCCCGGGCTTTTGAACATTTAACACCTGATACCTGATGCAACTCTAACTCATGGTCAGTAAGCTTCTTGAGCGTATTAAAATTAATTTAATTACTTCTGTGTGGTTAGAATGAAAATTGAGTTTAGAAATGGTTATTATATGTCCATATTGCGATTGTCATTTTAAATAAATGAAATGGAACCTATTTGTTCACTGTAAATTAAAACACAGTGTTATATTTTAATCGAGCGGTTTAATGTCAAACAACCATTCGTTACGAATTACATTGTGATTTATTAATTCTTTAAAGGAAACATATTCGGTTAAAACATAATTCCTGTAAGAGGATAATAATAATGATAATTTTTAGTAATTTTAAAGATTCAGTAGCTTGTGGCAATGATATAATATTGATACTATAACCATTATCTCCAATAATAACAACCCTTCAACAAATTCTACTACCAAAATAGTGTCAGAAAGATCACACTTAATGATTAAAAAATCAGTTCATAGTGGCAGCCCCGGATTGTTTTCGTGCTAAATGACAGTTACATGCTAATCACCAATCTAATCAAGATCCTGGCAATACAAGTATAAGTTAATAACCATCCGAATTATTGAATCGTGTGGTGTTCATTTTAGTTAAGAAGTCCTCCAAATAAAAACGTGTGTGTTATGATTCTGAAGGAGAATGAAATCCTGTGCTATTATGACTAATCCTTTGGAAAAATTTTTATAACTGAACAGCAAATAAAGGAATTTTTTTCAAGTAACTGGAATGTGTTTCATTAAACCACAACTTTTTACAAGCGAATACTGTTTCTTAGGCCAAAAATTCAAGGAGAAAAAAATAATTCAGGTTTTAATAGGCTAACGGGGAATTTATAGTTCATGCGTCAAGTATATAAAAAAATTTCTGGAGCTGCCAAATGTTTACAAATGTTATTGATGAATATATGTGTAATAAAAGAAGCGAAAGTTGGGTGAACTTGATAGTTTTTTATTAAAAGGGTTACCCTTTTGCGGGAACTGAATTGAATTTGTAACTAAAAAGGTCTTTACCCTTTAACTATGTACTTCGACGAACTAGAAATTACACAACCCTTTCGGTTCTCAGATTTCCAGTAGGATAAAATTGTGTAATCTACTATAAAAGAACGTTTTACCCCAGAATATTCATCAAAAATTGGAAATATATTGTTTAGCTCTGAGACATCGAACTATGCATCGAGAAGATTCATTTTGGAATTCGAACATGAATGAAATATTAAAAATTGTAATTAACGAACTGAAATATTTAGAAAGTGAGGGCCTTTGAAAAATTCTACGGAAAATGGTACGGTGTCAATTTATTTTACATTAGCTATTGTTTGTGGGCGATAATTTGGTGATTCACTATTTACTAGGTTTTCAAATGAAAGTTTTACTCTACTTATTTGGTATGCAGATTTTGTTTGTCGAGAACCCAAAGATATTATGCAAAAACAACAGTAAAAAAATCGAAAATTACTTCGAACAGTAAAAACCTATAATGATGAGTGGTAGAGATCTAACGTGTGGGTATTAAAATCATGGCTATTTCATGACCTAACCAAATTTCCATTTAAACTAAAATCTGTATGCTGAGATTATGCAGGAATTTTTAGTGAAGGTTATATGAGAAGACGAAATTCCTTACAAGTATATAGTTTACTTAGTGAAAAAACTGTATCATATCTCATTATCTACTTGACTAACTTCGGATGCAAAATTTTACTTACGGAACGGAATGGTTTCAATAAAAACATTCCACTATTCACACAGAAAATAATTTAAGAATGGGCTTACATTGCAGTGGCTTCTGAAATGTTTTACTTAGTGAATTTCTCAGTTTCATGATTGGTCCTTATTCCCTTGTGAAAATGAAATGACCTGGCCAGTTATTTTTTTAAAACTTAAACAATTGCTAGTAATTTTGTTGAGTAACTCTAATTGATGGTTTGTAATTATTGAAAACAGTATCAACTCATTTAACCGAATCATCAGGAATTATTTTAAAAATTATATAAATACACATGATCTAAACCAAATTACAGTTTATGATTCAAATTAGGCTCGTATTCTTCACTTTTGACAGGTCCTTTAATTACCATTATCTTGCAATGCGATTTGAGCAAATCATGGTGGATTTCATCATCACGCTCAAGTTAATTAAAAAATCTAGAAAAAATATCTGTTATAGTTCGCACTTATGAATCAGTTTAATTTTAAATGAAAGATTTCTTTCCAAAAAGGTTTTGAAAAATGTGTTTATTTTCTATCGGTAGTCCATCAATCGAAACTAAAATAACAGATTTAATTAAATGAACATTATTTGGTTAAGATATCAAACAACACCATTTTGAGTTAAGTGGTACGTTTGTTTATTACTTCTGGGGCTATGGTCAATAGTAATTAAGTATATGAAAAATATGGATCTTAAAAACTATAAGTAAATAAATTTGGTAAAATTAGTATAGTTTTAGTAGATGAAGATAATGTAACGTTCCTAATTTCATTGTGTCGCTGATTCGTTTGAGAACCCGTATCATGCTCCGAATTATGTACCACCGAAATGTGGGAGGTTTTATTTGAGCCCGGGATTTAATATTGAATCCAATCCCGAGTGAGGAAATATGCAATCGCAATGGACAAAATTATATCATTGGTTGAGTTAAATTTTTGTAAGTTTATATGTAGTCTTTAGATATAGATTAAAAAAGGTTTTGTTAATTGTAGTTGTAAACCCTTAAACAATGATTAACCTATAAATCATGACCAGAAAAAAAAATAATAAATTTATGACTTTTTTCATTGATCTTCATATCAATCAACCTTCAATAAAAATTTTCACATAAAATCATATAAGCTTTTCCACCGAATGAAATTTTCCTGAATTAAAAAAGTATATTTCATATTTAGAACAAAATTTATAAGAAAAATAAATTGAACTTAATAGTCCTCATCACTTAATATTAAATAGTAATTGTATTGTACTAATCGGAGGTTGATTAAGAGTACAATTTTAAAACAGTTTTACAAAACTTATTATGTACTTTTATAAGAATTACATCTTATTCGATTAAAATAAACTATTTGCGTGTTGAATAAAACAGAAAAAACAGTTGCTATGAACATAAAAAATAGTTTTTCATGAATTGATCTGAGATGTACGGTAAAGTAATCATCATTCTAGTCAACTGATTGTTCGTTTTATTCCAATTGTATAGAATAGTGTTATCTAGCTCAATATTTGTTTTGCATGATTACTTAAAAAAAAACCTGAGATAAAATCGATTTGTTGTGTTATAATAATTGCGAAGATGGTTTCTGTAATTAAGGTAATATTTCTTTCAACTTAAATTTACTTCTTTAATAAATTTTCAGTCCAACTGAAATACATACTTTTAAATCACCTAAAAATTATCCAATTTAAGTGAAACTTAGTGAAGTGAAAAAGAATAAGACACTATTATTATCCTCAAAGCATTAATGGCTTCAAACTAATTTTAGTTTTGTTACATTAAATTATCTTTTCGGATTGTTGTCAAGAACCTATAGACTTGGGCTCTAACTAATCATATCTCGTCAGCTCAGAAACATTTCATTTGGAATAACAAAATTGTCAAACGTAACAGCGCAGTAGACTCAAGTAAAAAGTTCGCGCATTTGGCTGTATTCAAACGTACGGAGTACTTGATTGAAGGGATGGCCGAAACCACCATATTGTGGAAAAAGAATGAAACCAACGCGAAAATGTGCGAAAAGGTCGTAGGAATATTATTGTAAAAAGTCAGCATCCTAACGTAAAGGAACCCTTGCAAAAAAATGCGAAAGCGTGCAAAAATGACTTTTTCGGTAATATCTCGAGAACGGCTGGAGATATGGAGAAAATTTTTAAGTAAACGTTGTAGAGAATTAAATTCTCTACAAAAAAGTATTTATACATTTTTTACGTATCTCTTACCGCTTATAAATTATATGCCATCAGAGGGACCGTGGAACGTCGAATTTTTCAAAAAATTATTGTATATTTAAAAAATATTTTATTTAAAAAAGACCTAATCAGAGGGCTTCTTTATTACTCTGACAATATCTTTAAAGGTCAATGAGCTTTTCATTAATCAATATTAATTTAAAAATTTTAAATTAATTTTTATTATACTTAATCGAATTGAATTTTCTTTTTTCTATACCATTCGATTCAGCGTAAAATTTATGATGATTTATGACGATAGCGCCATCTAAAGTTATAAGCACAGTTTCTTTCGAGTATGTACCGACAGATAAAATAAACAATCAATTTATCGATAACTGGTATATGTCATGTGTCAAATTCAATTGATAAAAAAGTTTTTTCTATTTGTACACGCTGGTGTGCGTTGGTCTATGTTGACAAGAGCGTCTGTCATTGTTTCCTGAGGTGTTTTGACACAAAGAAACAAACGCAGTACGCACTAAAAATTTAAAATCTCATTGTCGTGATGAATCACTGTCGATTATACTTAGTATCTAGTAGTCACTGGAAGCTGTCAGTAAAGTAATAAAAATATTATTATCAAAAATCAAGTAAATTTCATAATTTACAAGTGGAGCTCAAAATTTTGGAAAATGTAGAAGCCTTTAGAGCCTGGAAGTTCTCCTGTAGATTGGTGTGAAGGAAATTACAGCATATCACCAGATATAGCAGAATTTATGAATACTGTTAGTATATTTTTATTCTAAACATTACTTGTTTATATCAAATTAGAATTGAAGTCTTATTGTTTCTTTATTGTTGATATAAGATTCTGGATATTTCTATAGTAAATATATACTTACTTATAAAGAATCTAAAAAATTATCACAAGTTTCGATCAAAGATTATTATGATATTGATAATTAAAAATAATAATGATATCATTATGATTGGTGCAACAGTAAAGCTTTTAACGTTCTCAATTATTCATTATTTGTTTTTGTAGTTTAGCAATGTCGTCTTCTTATTACTTCCACCAGTACTGATGCATTTATTCAAGGACTATGGAAGATTTGTTAATCCAGCTATACATATTATTTGGTTCTTGTTGATGGTTGTTGGACTTAGCAGCGCATATTTTCATGCAACATTATCTCTAATAGGTAAATTTTTATTATGTTTCATTAAATGTTTAAACAATTTTTTTACCCTTAAATACAAATTCTATCTTAATTTTCAGGCCAATTATTGGATGAATTAGCAATTTTATGGGTTTATATGTCTGGATTATGTTTATTTTTCCCCCGAAGATATTTTCCAAACGTCTTCAGGAATAACAGAAAACTATTTTCTATGTTCGTTGTTTTGCCAACATTGATAGCTACTGGTTTAGCTATTGTACATCTAGTAGCAAACGCATTTGCTTTGATGTGTCTAGCTATTCCAGCATTTGGTTTTATGATTATTGAACTCAGGAGGTAAAATATTTCAAATATATTAAACCGTCTGAAGTAGTATTATGAATTTCATTTTATTATTTATTTTTTCTACTGTATTGTTTTTCAGAACAAAATCAATGAGAGTCTATCGATTGGGTGTAAGATGTGGGGCTGTTTGGGTACTAGCAGTGGCTTGTTGGCTAAATGATCGTTTGTTTTGCGACACTTGGATGAATTTAGTAGCAGAAGAGAAACCTCAGCAATCAGCAGTACTGAAGTATTGGCCGAAAAATGATTTTGAACTTGGAATTCCTTATGTAACAATTAAATGTTACATTCGGGCAGATAATAATACAAATATATAAACTATAATTTTTTATTAACAGAGAATGATTCATAGTGTCAATACCATGTCTTGTAAACATTTTAATCCTAAAATATTAAGTCTGTGATTTAATTTCTAATCAACGTTATTCACAGATACATTTATACTATGTTTAATTGACTTATCATAAATATTAATGAATTTTTTATATTAGAAATTTTCTATAATTTCTATGAGTAAATTTATTTTATATTATTAATTAATAGAAAGTGATGTTATTGATTTATTGAAATGTGCGAAGATATATGATAAAGTCTGTATATTTGTGATAAAATTCCAAATGTTAATTAAGTACTTAATTAAATCTCTTGAATAGAGAAATTCTTAAAAATTTTATTTATAAAAGGTTGTTAAGCTCAAAGTATCATGTTAGATTCGATAAATTTTAATGGATGTATTGACTTAATATAAATGTTGATTATAAAATAGACATCAGTATTTTTATGTATAACGTTTATTTAAAACTCCATTCTTTGTATAATACCATGTAAGAACCAAAACGTCGGATGTTTATGTGATTACTTTTCGGATAATAATAATTAAAAATCATGAACAAAGTAAAACTAATGATAAATAGTTAAATAAGTCGTTTCTTTGTCTTTTTTCGATGTTCAACTCAAAGTCTAAAATATTAACCTATTTTAAAATTATGTTAAATTATGAGAAAACTTGAATTAACTCAACTATTAGGTATATTATTTACAAGGTAAAGTTTTACAGTTTTTATGGTAAAATGTACAATTTTAATTTGACAATAATACGCAGATAAAATATGTTGTTAATTAAATGAAAGATAACCATTAATTTTTAATTGAAATATAACTAAGGTATATTTCGTACGTAAATCGTAAACGTACAAGCATATTTAACTAAATTTATATCAACGAATTTCTCCGAAGGTACAATTTATTATAAAATAAAACTTATCTGTTGCATTGCTAAAAGATACAATGCAGTGCGCTTGACCAATACAGCATTTATAAGCATTGGCAATCATTAAAAATACATCTTCTGCAAATAGATTATTAAATTTATTTTTATAACTGTCGTAGGAAGCTTCGTAGATTCATTTCGAATCAAATTTGTTTACTTTTTAAACATCACAGCTTCTTGAGGAAGTATTCACCGTATGCTGAATTATTTGTAGATTATCGTCGATGACATTTTTTTTTGTTTCATTCATGTTCTGTTTTACAAAATGTCAGCAACTCGATTAAATTTGACAATGATTTAATTATTACCCCTTTGAACACTTGTATGGGATCGAGTTAATGCAGTGAAAAAAGATCCCCTGCTGATGGCAGAGGTGCGAGACCACCAGTCACATCAGGTAATTGTGTTAAATCAGGTAAATTCGAAATATGAGATTTTACTTCAGCTCGAACAGCACAAACCTTTTTTAATTTTTCTTTGTAGTCCTGAAAAAACATGTAATAAGTATTTCAATGATATATTCATACTTTTATTGATAAGTAATTCAAAATGTTGAATAAAGTTTAAAAGATTCTTACTTCTAGTGTTGTTTGTGCCTGCTGTAACAATTGTCGTTGAGCTAGTGTGTAATCCCTAAGCATAGTAAGAAGTCGTCGTCTATCCTCCATTTCAGATTGTAAACGTCCATTATAATCAGCTAAAAGAGCTGCAGCCTCATTAACAGCAATACTCAGTTGATCTGCTGATGCTCTATCAGCAAGATTGGCCAGAAGAGATACTTCTGGGAGTAGAGAAGCAATTCTTTCTCACACTGGCGTCTGATGATGCTGTATTTTCTAAATCCTAAAATAAATTCATAGAGTAATTACAAAAATATTACAATAAAATTTCTAAAATATTTAGAGTATTATATTCATATAAAGAAAATAGGGTTTAAAAAATAATAATTTTATTGACGATAATATTTTTTAACTCTTGAAGAAGAAGATATTTTTCTTACATAATTTTTCTTTTAATTTATTCGATTGTTAAGTTCCGGTTATCAGGAAGGTTTGAAAATTTGCACACATGTATGAAACGATGTTAAAATTGCATTAACATTGCGGAATGTTGCAAATGTTGATAAATTTTTGTATTCTGCAACATATAAATAAAAAAAAAGAATTGAATCCTCTATCGATCTGTATATATAAAAATTATTACTTTTTTTCAACCTAATTTTCCATAGTTTAATTATTTTGAAAACTTAGAAAAATTTTTAAAGATTTTCAACTTGAGTCAAAAAGCATTTTCGACTCAACACCAAGAATGTCCATAGCTGATGACTATTCATATAGAATAATAGCAGTAATAAAATTTTATATGTTTACAGTAGGATTCAATGGGCCCTTTTCTATCTTTTGCACTTTCACTAGAGGAGTATGCGATCTCACTCGCACTTATATTTTGTAGTGTACTCCGCAGGTGTATAAAAGTATAGTGAGTGTGAGTGAAACGGAAGAAACTGCCGTTCTCTCTTGCACTTACACTTTTTTATGCGCCGCGCAGGTGCAGAAAAATGTAATAAGTGCGAATGAAAGGAGAGATATGTCGTTCTCTCTCAGCGGCAGTAACGTAAGAAATGAAAAGTCCCCCAATTAATTTTTTTTATCATTCTCACGTGGATTAAAATAAAAATCCAAGTAAGAGAGCATACTCTATCATAAATTTTACGCTGAATCGAATGGTATAGAAAAAAAAATTCAATTCGATTAAGTATAAAAAAAATTAATTTAAAATTTTCAAATTAATATTGATTGATGAAAAGCTCATTAACCTTTAAAGATATTGTCAGAGTAATAAAGAAGCCCTCTGATTTGGTCTTTTTTAAAAAAAATATTTTTTAAATATACAATAATTTTTTGAAAAATTCGACGTTCCACGGTCCCTTTGATGGCACATAATTTATAAGCGGTATGAGATACGTAAAAAATGTATAAATACTTTTTTGTAGAGAATTTAATTCTCTACAACGTTTACTTAAAAATTTTCTCCATATCTCCAGCCGTTCTCGAGATATTACCGAAAAAGTCATTTTCGCACGCTTTCGCATTTTTTTGCAAGGGTTCCTTTACGTTTAGGATGCTGACTTTTTACAATAATATTCCTACAACCTTTACGCACATTTTCGCGTTGGTTTCATTCTTTTTCTGCAATATGGTGGTTTCGGCTATCCCTTCATTGGACTATAGTAGCAAACTTATGACGACATTATTACCTGAACTTAAATATGTAATTCACTAGAGAAATTCAAAACAATGTCTCAATTTAGGAATGATTGTAACCAAAATCCATAGAATCCTTAAATTTAATTAATCCTCATGGATGAAGAAGTATGTAGATCTAAATACAGATTTACGAAAAAATTCGAAAAATGATTTTGAAAAAGAATTCTATCAATTAATAAATAATGCAGTTTACGGAAAAACAATGGAAACGTTCGGAAGCATAAAGATTTGAAGTATGTTACACAGTCGGAAGGTCGGTATGGTGCGAAAAATCTCATCGCTTCTCTAAAATTCCACAATAGTATAATTTTTGACGATGACTCGGTAATAATAGGAATGGAGCAAAAAAATATATTTTTTAATGTGCTGATATACGTAGGATTTGAAGTTTAAGATCTTTTAGAAATGTGTATTTATGATTTATATATTTTGATATCCGAAAATTGTTAATTTAGTTAATTTTATGTGATTATTTACATTGAAGCTAGAAACGCAGCTGATAAAATACTTGCTGACAAATCTTTAAGACAAGTTTTCCCAAGAGACGCAGATATTGCTGAACAAATTGCTACTTTAGGAAGTTCCTACGTCATAAAAGTTAAATCAAAATATGGATTGGGTTCGGACGAGAAGAACAAAAAGGACAAGGAAGTTAAACATATGCAAGAAATTATTAATTCAGCAAAGCTTATGTTTAATTTCAGTTTAGACCCTATCAAATCTGCATTAGCTGCTGCATGAAAGACTGTTCGCGATGCTGGTGGAAAGAAAAAGATCAAATTTCCACGTATTATACCAATGCCGCAAAAAGTAGGAAGTATTTTAACTCTTATACCTCTATTCGCAGGTTTAAGTGCAAAAGCAATTAATGATGCCAAAGACGGCAAACGTCAATTGCAAGGAGCTAAACGATATAACGAGAAAATGGAAGCAATAGCTTTAGGTCAAGGTTTACGTCTAAAACCGTACGAGAGAGGGTTAGGATTGTATGTAAAACCAGCAAAAAAGAAACCCTTAAATTTACCTCGTCGTGCACTGACTGATATTGAACTTTAAAAATATTCAAAAATCATGAAAATACCCCTTTTTCGTGGTGTTTTTATGCGAAATGATCTTCCAAAATCTACACCGCTGAAAAATGAATGAGCAATTATTGATCTCGACGATAAAACTAGACGTAGAACTTATTGGGTAGCATATAAAAAATGTGGTAATAAAGTGATATATTATGACAGTTTGCAGCCACCACATGAGCTTACGGAATATCTTAACGTTAATAATATCCTGTACAATCATGATAAACATCAAGATTACAGTACAGATACTTGCGGACACCTGTGTTTGAAATTTTTACGTAAAAAGTATAAAAGTAATATGAACTTTTCAATAAGTATCAGTTATGGATGATTCACTCACGTTAACATTGTCTGGACAAACGTCCATTCTAGAAGCGTTTTATTTTCCACCAATTGAATTATCATCATCTGAAAAATATACCCTAGGACTTGGGGAATTGTTAAACTTCAATTCAATTTCAAATATTGATAACGGTAACAATAAATTTTATTATACACCTAATAGTGAAGATAAGAGTATTAAAATACTCACAGGAAGCTATGAAATTGAAGACATTGAAAATTATTTAACCCCTGACAAGCACACAGGGTACAAAGTACCCACCCCAAAATTTTATTTCGTTATAATTCTCTGTATGTATCAACAAACGGCTTTCCCCTCCAGAGATATTTCGTTGAGACCTTGAGGAAGCGTGTTCAGTAGGCGTTGGTGCGATTCAGTTGTTACGACGCAGTGAGCGCGGAACGTTGTGGGTACTTTTAACCCAGTGTGCCAGTTAAGTGTAGTCAAGTGTTCAAGAGTTTTTTCTCCGATCATATGAGTGTTTTTTTCTTTATTTACGGTAAGTAATAATGTATGATTACATTTGTATCACAAAATATTTATACGCTTATGTAAATTTATGTATTTATATGAATGTATATGTCATATATATATATTGATGTATATGAAATTTTGTTAGAGACATTTCGAATAGTTTTGTAAATTGTAATATTTGCTTAGATGAATAAACGAAGAAGAAATTCTCCTGTGCTTATTAACGACAAAACATCTGATGACGAGATAACTGATGAAGTCCACGGGAAAAGTGAAGGTGAAAATAATAAAATTTTATCTTTGTCAGAAAGTGAGAATGATGACGACCCAGATCACGACATTTACCAGCCATCTACTAGTAATCTACGCCGTTCTAGAAAGAGACGCCGGACTGAACAAAAGCCGACCGGCGGTCGACCAGTTTCGATTCTGAGGGGACAAGGAGACAATAAAATCTTATGATGTCTAAAACCTACCGTACGTCGTCTATCAGAAACTAAGCAAACATTTCACTTACCTAGAGTTATTGGAGAAGCTCGTCAAACTAAAACTCCAATTGATACATGGTCATATCTTTTTTCAGAAGATATTCTCGAGATAATTGTTATTCATACTAATGAAGAAATAGATCGTGTATGTGCTAATACAGAAAAATTTTTGAGTTATCATAATAAAACTGATATTATTGGAATTAAAGCTTTGATTGGCTTACTTTATATATCAGGATACAGTAAGCAATCTACGGTAGATGTGAACGAGTTGTGGGGTGAAGAATTTTCTGTTACAATATTCAAAGCTACTATGTCGGCTCACAGATTTCAGTTTTTATTGAAATGTCTTCGATTTGATAACAAAAATACACGTAAACAACGTCGAAAACTGGATAGGTTTGCTCTGATAAGAGAAATTTGTGATAAATTCATAATAAATTGTGGAAAATATTACAGGCCATATGAAATTTGCACTGTAGACGAACGAATGGTTGGATTTAAAGGTAGATGCATTTTCAGAATGTATTTACTGAGCAAACCTGATCGTTATAGTATCAAATTTTTGATGTTGAATGATTCTAAAACCTCGTACATGATGAAAGCTGTGCTATATCTAAGAAAAACAACGGAGAGATTACGTAATGAACTACTTGCGAATTTTTTTGTAAGAGAATTAGTAGAACCAATTAGGCATCCGAATCGGACAGTTGTAATGGATAATTAATTCACGTCAGTTGGTTTGTTTCAAATACTACTTGATGAATATAATTTAAGAGGTACAATAGGTACTATCCGTAAAAATAAAAAAGAAATGACACGTAGTTTTTCAGAAGAAGCCTCACCATCAACAACCAAATTCTGTTTCGCAAATAAACAACCTCTACTGTCTTATGCTCCAAAACGAAATAAAATAATTTTAATACTTTCAAGCAATAGTACAGATACCGAAATTGATCCTGAAACAAAAAAACCAAAATTAATACTGCAATATAATCAACACAAAGGTGGAACAGATTCATTCGATCAAGCTTTTAAATTATATTCCGTTGCACGTCGGACAGGAGATGGTCATTAAAAGTTTTCTATGTAATGCTAAATACGGCTAATGTTAACGCAACAATTTTATATAATTTAAATCATATAGAAGAAAAAAAAACCCGATTCACTTTTATGAAAGACTTGTCGTTTGAGATGATCAAGCCTTTACTAATTGAACTCTATAGGATTCCACAACACGAAAAAACATTAAAACTGAAATTGCTCAACTTCTTAATTACGGAACACCTGTTGTTAATCATTCTGGAGTCATATCAACACCCGAAACAAGATGTTCATATTGTCATCATTCACTAGGAGTTGAAACAACCATGATGTGTCCGCAGTGTGAAAAATCTATGTGTAAAAGACATCGATGTCCTTTGTGCGTAGAGTGTTGTAACGAAAATTCTATTTGAAATATATATTTTGTGATTATTTGTATTTTTGTGCATGAAAATAAAGATTACAATAAATAATAGATCTCTGATTTCTTTAAAAACTAGCCCAATACCTCTTTTTTACATACGCTACTTTAATGAATTTAAGTAGTAAAATAATTATACTCTCCGAAGCGGATTGAAACATGAATTTTACCATCTTTTAGAGCACTTTTTGAGCTTTCCAAAACACTATATTTTTTAATATTTTGATCCATTAGAATCATAGATACAGCACGAAAACAAAAAAATCTCAAAAAGACACTTTTTTTAGCTTTGGTGGTATTTTTATCTATTTCCATTGACACTAATTAATTAATCATTATATTCATTTTATACGGGATTGTTTGAACTTTCATTCGAAAAAAAAATTCTCGAACTTTATTAGGGACCAAGATATTTGAAAATGAATTGTGTCGGGTACTTTTCACCCTCAATGCCTGAAGAGGTATACCGTTTAGATGTGTGCTTGTCAGGGGTTAAAGAAAGCTGATACTTGATTATTAATTTCTATTAAGCCCAATAATAATGAGCTACACCGTGAAGTTCACAGTGAAAATGCAACAATAAATTTCAAACCGCATGATTCTATTGGTAGTTTGTTGAGCTTTAGTCCACAACTTATCTCGCCAAAATTGACTCACACATCAGCTTTACAAGTATCTATCTTGAAAATTAATGTATTAAGGATCGAATGTAATATTACGACAGGAGCATACATGAATAATTAGTTGGTACATACGATTTATGAATTTTTTCCATCAGTTCCACCAGGATATAAGATCATTAAACGTCATTTATCTTCCAATCACTGTACAAACAATACATAATTTACAACTGCGCATCGTTGATCAGGTCAATTGGTAAACTGACGTGGTGAAACTGTCACAATACGTTTACATTTAAAATAAGTTATGTGATGAGAATTGTTTATAAACCAATAGTAGG